TGTAGAACTTGTGGAACTTGTAGAACTGGGTATTATCACTCTACAGAGTGTTTCATGCTAATGCAATCTTCAGGAGCTGTCTCTTATACACATCTAGATGTGTATAAGAGACAGATATATATATATATACGCACACTTCCCCTTGACCCAGCCGAGGTCCTAGGCCCCCAGACAATATGCCAGGGCAGCAAAGCTGCCCCAGGTCCCACAGCCACTCTCGGCAGCCCTGCATATAACTTGTGATATAATACATAAATTTATAGCTTATTATTCTTTCATCATTTTCATCATGCCCTGACCTATATATTTTTCTTAAAATGTTATATTATATGGCATACAAATAAATTAATTCAATTCATTTCTTTTTTGCCAAATGCAAGGTAATTGAATAGTAAATGTTGCACAGCATTTCACACTTCACATCGATTGCTATAACAAAAAATAAATATATATAGAAACAGTGCCAGTGGCTCAAGAAATTTGCTGAAAACGAGTTCTCTATTAAGTCTGATGGCAGACCACAATGAGATTGGCAATCACAATAACATTGTTTGATCCAGAAAATCAATTTTTAGACATGGTGACGGATGGGAGGGAGAATCCATGCTTATCCGATGGGGAAGGAGTGTATAGGTGGAGGGAGGGCCAACAACATTAAAAAAATTTACAGTATTGCTACTTGAATTCTTACATCAAGTTTTCTATACTCTAGCCACTTAGAATTAAAGAATGAAATGAATGACACTGGGAAGTAGGCCTACATAAACAGCACTTTCAGGTTGACTTAAATTTGAAAGAGTTTGTAAGGATTATAAGATCAGAAACTGAATTTTTCTAGACACCATGACTCAATCTCTGACTAAATCTTGAGTCTGTGATTTCAAAATGATTCACAGAAAACAAGTTGACTTGTATGATATTGAATACAATTCCCAATTCTGTATTCGACAAGATTATAAATAAACGTACTGTATGATATTCTAAATTGAGTGGTAATCAGCCAGCTTCGGTCTAATCAGTAGGCTTCAGAAGACACTTACTTGGGAAAGAAGGTGGGTGCTTGACTAGTAAGCTCTTCCTTTTACAATTGCCCTAAACACAGTTCTGCCCACACTATAAAATGTTATGCGACAAATAAAATATCAGATGTGTATTATGTCATCACCATACCCATATATGGGCACATCAAACACATTTGTCACATGAAATTTGAGATTAAAATTTGCGAAAGTGATATGTGCTATTTGAATTACCAGAATATTAATATTGTGATATTCTCCACTTCAACAATTACAAAAAAAATTACCACAGTGCTTCTGGTAAGACCTAGGGCTTTAATATCCTAAGCTGTTTATGAAAAAACTTAATAATGGCCAATCAAATTGCAAATTTTCAACACCGAAACCCTCACCCAGCAGCAAAAAAAAACAAAAACAAAACAGCTGAACAAAGGGCGGATGAACTCCTTGGAGCCAACGGCCAACCATGCTTTAGTTTAAGGAGTACAGCAGGTTTGAGTTTAATATGACAACATTAACTTTTTTCGAAGTGTCAAACTCAAAGAGCTCAATCACCAAGCACATGGATGCTTTTTTGCATAATGCACTTTATACAAATTCAACTAAAGTATTATCATTATTATTAATATTATCATTACTGCATGCCCAATTGAAAGCCAATCTCTTTTATTTTGGAAGTCAGCTATTAAGCAACTCATTCAAATCATACCTAAGCTTTTGCAAGGCAAATTGCTAGTACAGGAAATTGGAGGTGAATTAGGGAGTGGGCCATTACACCTGAGGAAATAATTATATAGTAAAAATAATTGTACTGAAGTTACAAAACATTTTAAACAATAGTGAAAGTGATATCCATACAGAACTAGGTTATGATATGCACTTCAGTGGCTTACCCATTAACGACAATACATGTTTATTAGTTACAAGGCAATAAATAAAAATGGTTGGATTATAACTGTATCATAAACATTATATGGTACTGTGATACAGAACCACTAGATTAAGTTATTAACAACTTTTCAAACTGTTTAGTAAAGTATTCTTTACACATTTAGTAGATCTACACGTGCTAATTACGAATTGAGATTGTTCAACTGACAGTAAATATTTGATTAATTGGTACATTAAAAGCTTGCTGTTGATACCAGTGGAAGTATAACATCACAAATCAGTAAACACTATTAGAACACATGTTAACAAGCTGTGTATTGCAAGTTGACTGTTCTAATTGCTGAAGTATCAAGAGGCAATAATCGATCTTGAAAAACAAGGGTCTGATTTAATATACTGTGTTGTGTGAAATAATGATGATGATAATGATGATGATGATATTAATGATGATGATGATGATGATAATGATGATGATCATCAGGGATGTAGTTATGGTTGGCATGGCCACCCAGCCTTGAACCCGGGATGATGATTACTAATATTACCAGTAAACAAACATGAATGAGAACAATTTATAACAACAATTATATATTTTATGCTTGCGGTACACCACGTAGATAGTGAAAAGAACTGTTGTTTGTTGAGAATGTCTCGATGTTTCGATTGAGTTGTTTTAATCATCTTCAGGAGAATAATATCTACACAAAATATAGTACATTATACTGTAGTTCTTTAGGTATACTGTAAGCCCACCCCCTATTTACACAATTCCACATATCACTGTTTTTGCCCATCCAAAGGTGTGGGTACGAATTTGAATGATGTAAGATGATGTTAGATGATGTTAACAAATAATTAAAGATAAAAAAAAGATAAGCTATGAATTGCAATGTTCAAATATTACCTTTTGATTAGCCATCCCTACTAATTGGAGGACATATCAATTTGAAAAAAGATTAGCAGCCTATTTCCTGGGTATAATCCCACCCAACATAATCGGCCTACAGTAATTATCACGTCCGAGTTCAAACCCTGCCATATGATACACTCCTTTTTCCTCACAACTAAAAGAAATCCCGCCCTCTGCATAATAATTAATTTGGACTACTTATAGTGTCACCACCTATAAAAATTATGTACGAAAATAATAATGGATTTTTTCCGGAGTGTCAATAAAACTTCCGCACAGACCAATCGGAGTATCACTAAGAATATGCATTTTTATGTATGCTTACAATTAATTTAGCAACGATATCCAAGGGGCGGGGCATTAATAATAACACTGTAAAACTAATATGCTGGTCCTTGAATCAATATCATTAATATTAAACAATTTATTTACTTACTCTGAGAGTAAGGTTGCGGGCATGCTCCGTTGATGGGGTTACACATCTCGTCATCGCTGCACGAACATGTATACATGCAGTTAGGACCGTACAAGCCTTCAGGGCAGGGAACATCACAACTGAAAAGAAAAAGACAAATTTCTAATTAGTAGAAAATACTGTAACATATTTATAAACTAAAATGTTCAACAAAATGTTTGAATAGTTTCATCAGGTTTGATTATTATTCTGTAGAACTGTTTTAATCAATACTAAACCAAGCACTATGGATGTAAATGAAATTTGATGAGATATTAAGAAAAAAATGTGTATCAAAATTATTATTAATAATCATTATTATCAAACAAAATTTGAGCTTGTTGTATCCTACAGTAACATCCTAATAATTATCATCATTGAAATTATAAAAAAAAAAACATTTTTAATTATCAAACTTTACTAATAACATTACAGTTTGTTGGCAATTTTACAATACTGTAGTCTCATTCCTCTGTTTGGGTGTCCCCCCCACCCCAACTATTTTCCCTCTTTTCTGTACCTTTTATTACTTTATTAATTACAATGCTCTTTGAACTGCTTTAATTTCTTGTATCTTGATGTATGTATAGTTTTTACAGATTTTTCATTTTTACCTACAATTTTTTATGTGAATTTTCTGTATTTCTTTTTCAGTAGTTGGCAATTTTATGCTGTTTTAATACAGTATATTATATTTATAATATTGTTAATTCATATGCAATTCAGCCATGTGCTGCATGTACTGTATACATATGCATTTCACTGTGAGGCTTAAATAAATATACCTCAATATATTAATTTAAAGTGTAATATAAATAGTGTACAGTAGTCATTTCTTTCAATTTCTTAGAAGCTGTCAGATGCTATATATGACTCACTTAGCTAATGGGTTATATACAGTGACTATCTCCATTTAATTCATCTTGTATTAGAATTGCCTGAATAATTTAATATATTTGTAATTCTCATTATATACAGTGCCAATAATTCTTACTAATAATATAATTATAATTTTTTTTTTATACAATAGGCCTACTAACATTGCCAATAATTTTCATTAATTTACAAATAATTTTCATAAATTTACCAATAGTGTAAAGCTCTATCCACACTATCAAATTTACTTTGACAAAAAAATGTGACAAGCCCATATATAGTAATGCTATGCCTATATATGGTCATGGTGTGATGTCATCATGCCCATATATGGGCATATCACACTTTTTTGTCACACAAAATTTGATAGTGTAGACAGAGCTTAACGATTACAGGTATTGTGCTCTGTCCATACTAATCAAATTTGATGTGACAAATTTGTGTGCTGTGCCTATATATGGACAGGATGATGTCATATTACACCCAAATATGAGCATATCACAATTATTTTCACATAGAATTTGATAGTGTGGACAAGAGCTTAAATTTTTGTTCAATTTTTAATTTATGTTTATCAATAGTACAGGATACTATATTCTCATACTTTAACCATTTGGATTTTAACTCTGTCAGATAAGGATGAATTTCAACAATTTTGATCAAATTACGATTACAAAAATTATAATCCCTAATATTGGTATTGCAGACACAGTATTGCAATATCATACAGTACACTGTAATCTCCCAGTGTGAACTTGTTCCACAGCATTGGCATGACAGGAATAATAAGCATGGTATGGTAATGCCATCTCTCTCAACAACAAATATGAAATATTATTTTAATATATCGGGCAATGACCTTAATTAGAAATGTCGTTGATGACAATACAATTTTTAAGGCAGTGGGGCTTGAAAACAATTGCGAACTACCTACAGTAGATGTGTGGAAGATCCAGTTTAAAATCATAGAAGAATGGCCACATGCTTTTAAGTGGGAAGGAGTAGAAAAGATTGTCGTAGAATGTGTGACTAATTTTTAATACGCTGTCACAGACAAAGCTTGAATAATTTCACACTGATATAAATTATGAAAAATATAGGTCAAGACCACAGCATTGGTGGGTGCTGGATAATGGGGGGGGGGACAAGAACAATATCTGTAAGAAATTGTAGATGCTTTGTATTAATAAATCCACAGAAATTTCACAATTCTAACCCACAATTCTCAGAATTTATAAAGTCTTCCTAAAAAATTCCAAACATCTTAAAATGCATTATAAAAGAATATTAGATTATTTGAAATTATGATGTTGATGTTATCAATCCTAAATATAGATGAATTTAAAATAACATCATAATGTTGTTTTGGCTCCTGATTTTGCAGACCGCACAGCGAATGTCATCTCCATGCGATGATATGACTTATTAATGGCTTAAGCTGATGCCATTTTGATGATGTTTAGACTATGCACATTAACCATAGCAAGCTTGGTGCCACGTTGATTAGATTCGCAGGAGACGCAATTTGACAGGAGGAAAAAAAACGAGGACGAACACTCTCATGCCGAAGCTTCTTCCATTACTGTCTATAAATTTGTCAATAAACAGTTTATATTTCCCCTGATCATTGTTGTATACTTGATCAGATCCATCCTTTAGTTATAAGATACTGTAATAATTAATTTTGTTTTATCCATTATTAGTCTCTCAGGTCATCATTATAACAGTTACTTTTTTCCCTTGATCATTGTTTGATCAAATTAAACCTCCTATTTGCAATGTTTCTATTCAATTTTTTATATGACAACATACTGTATCATAAACACAATGTATATTGTATACATTGTCTTTTACTCTATATAAACAATATACGTGTGTATTTTAAATATACACATATTGAACATGAATAAAATGCATAAACAATATAGGTGATTATAACACATATTGTTTATATAAACAATTTATAAACAAAAAACTTATATTTGAAATAACGAATTCATTTCTAATGAATACTAAATTATTATAAGTTTATATATTGTATCCTGTAATAAGATAATTATTCAAATATATATAATCATATTACCCATTTAATGCTGACCTTGGAATCACATTTTTATTAAAAAAAATATATATAAAAATTATATCTTTAAAAGGAAATTTGTTGTAAATGATCAGTTTCTAAATAATATACTTTGAAGTGATGAAATAATTATTAAAATGTTAGGACAAGTCAAAAATAAAGTATTTTCTTGTTTCTGCTTGTTGTTTTTTGGCAACTGTCAATTTTGGTAAAATCATTAATTTGTATATGGGTCTACTGTACTATATACCATCATTATTAGAAGCGGTTTACAATATTTATTTCATTTTTTAAATAGAAATGAGATGCTTGCATTAAAATTCTTTTTAGTAGTTAGAAATAAATTTATTTTCCATAATTTTGTACTTCTTGTATAGATCAGAAGATCATAAATAATTTTACTTCTTTGGACAAACCACCCGAACAAAAACCATCCGGACAAAACCACCCAAAATGGTCTATACAATTGTTTCAGTGGGGTGGATAACCCCACTGGTTGGACATTTTTTATCTAGCCATACAATAGGATAGTTTACAGTACATTGTGATTTCCTATTATATGCAATTAATTAGTTCAACTCACTGTACATGTACAGTATGTTAATGTACGTTTCAGCAATCACAGTGCTTAAAGCCATTTTAAAAAATGATTTAAAGGTGTATAATAGGAAGTATGGGTGGTTATTGTCCTACATTCAACTACCAGTACTTCATCTAAAAAGTCAACAGCCAAAGAGAGCACTATTAATTTTCAAAAGTTTGATGAGAAACTAGTATATGGTTTTACTTTGGCCTTAGCAAAGAAATTTGCAATATGGATATTCCTCTAGATCTGGGACATGAATTCAAATTGCAGTATTACTTTAAATTATTTTTGTTTCAAAATGTATATGAACACCATTGCAACATGGATTGATTTTGCTGTCATTAAACTCTATTAAGTTGTAGGTCATTTACCTTAATATACTTTTAAGTACTGTACCTCGTTTTAATGGGTTCTTTCTGACGCCAACACATACTAATAAAGCTGCGCATCAAATTAGGATCAGCTATCTGCTACAGTATATCATTACTGTAGACTTCACTTAAATAATGAACTTTTCCGTGTGTCAACGAAACTTAACTGAACAGGGCCAGAAATATGTGCATCTCACAAACACATGTGTTGTCACACCAACGCACATGTTTATGTATTTTTACGCTATTGTTTTGAGGGACCTTAGAAACAATATCCAAGGTGAGGGAGGGGGGGGCTTAGCTCAAAGGTCAATTCTTTCTGGACACAATCCTGCAAGACTACATTTGTAATCATGGAGCAGTAGTCACTTTAGGATATACATTCGAGGGTGAGGAAGGGGATGAGGTGAAACTATTCAACAGGGGGACTAAATTCCATCAGAGTATTGAGATCTGTGGGTAAACCAAAGGATAGAGGACTAACTAAACACTAGAGAAAAAGTAAAATTTTGGGCCCTTCTGTTAAGGTGGCTTATTGGCTGGATGATTCATATAACATACAGTAGACTGTCCTGTACAGTGTCGCCTGTTTTACTGTAGGGTATACAGTAAAATCCCCATCCCTTCTCCGTGCACTGCCACAGACATTGAACACTTTTTAACCACATTGTATACGATCTGATTTTTTGTGTATTGGAAAGTGCCTTATATAAATATTTAGAAATATAGAAAACAATAAAATAAAATATATATTTACCTTTCACCTTTGAATCCTGGGTCACACATATCACATGACCCATTGGTGTGGAAGCATCCATTGCGATCAGGACATTCAGGGCAAGGTAGCTGACATCTGCGACCAAATGTTGTTTGCGGACACATTAATGCACATGCCATACCTGTCCAACCTGGTTCACAGTTGCATTCTCCAGAAACACCATCGCATGACATGTTGCCTGGGCAACTACATTGTTTGTAACAATTCGGCCCGTAATATCCTTCAGGGCATGGTTGTTGGCAATCAACTCCCATAAAACCTGCTGGACAAACGCATTCGTTGAATTCATCATTACAAGTAAGTGGGCTTTCGCAAGAGCATTTTACACAATTGATTCCACTTCTTGTGGGTGGACATTCCTCTTCACAGTTCTCACCGCGGAAACCAACCAGGCATAGACAAACTCCTGTTTCGGGATCACATTGCGCGCCGTTCTGGCATGTGCACACTTGGTTGCATTTGTAGCCGTAAAAGCCCTCTATGCAAGGTTGACGACAGTCTTCTCCCATCCACCCCATGGGACATTCACTTAAGCATTCTCCAGTGACATGATGACATTGTAAACTTTCACAACTGCACTTTTGTTTGCAGTCGCGTCCGTAGAAATTATTATCGCAAGGAGTGTTGCATGACCTCCGCTGCCAGCCTGGTGTACATTTACATTGATTTGTGTCTGTGTCGCATGTTGCACCGTTTGCACATAAAGTATTTTCACAATCTTTGATGCAGTTCCCAGTATGCGTTATGGGATTACATACTGTACAGTGCTCCCCTGAATAACCAGGAGAGCACATACATTGTTTAGTAACTGTGTCGCATATGGCACCATTCATACATACGCCTGTGCTGCAAAAATCAAAGCATTGCATCAGATGGTTTTTGGGTATGCACTTCTCGCATCTATCCCCAGTGAAACCACGATTACACATGCATGTTCCATCAACACTGTCACAAGGGGCATTGTTTAAACAGTCACAATTTTTTCTGCAATATTTTCCAAATGTTCCCGATGGACAAGGTGTTTCGCAGGTATCGCCGATAAATCCAGGAAGGCATACACAGTTCCCGTTAACAGGCTCGCATTCGGCGCCATTATTGCAATTGCATTCGTATATACAGTTTTGGCCATATTTGCCTAATTCACATGGAAGCTCACATTTAGTCCCCTCCCATCCTGGGGGACAGTCGCACTTTCCAGTGTTCGTATTACAGTTGCCACGATAACATTGCAGCTCATTAGAACATTCTACATTGAAAAACATAAAAGTAGATGCAAAGATTATGAAAAAAACTTAAATCGTTTGGTGTAAATTTATTGTAAAATTTGGTACATTCATGTATATAACTTAACATTTAATTTGTGACTTTGATTTGAATAACATATCAGAGACTTTGTACCATTATAATTATTTTTACCTTGTATTTACAGTATAATATACTGACTTCTACTGTACTTAAAATGTACATAAATTTTGTGATGGTCCTAGTAACAATTTCCCTGTTTTAGTATCTGTTCTCGTTTACCAGGTAGCACAGATATAAAGAGATCCTCACAGGAGAAACTGTATGAGCTAGTCCACACTCCGTTTGCTATATAAATTATAATAGGTCAGTATTTGAAAATGTAAACCTCATTAAATATTGTGTTAAAAAATATTCAAGGTGAAGTTAATGTATTACGAGAAATTTGTACTGTATTAAATTTTTGTTTAAAAATAATTTTTAAAATGGTTAAACTAAAAATACTGCGTAAGCTTACTCCATTCAACACAAGCATATCCAACTTGATCGTATCCATCACAACACCGCCACAATCCGTTCCTATTAAAATAAAGAAAAGAAATAATAAAACCTAGCTGTCAAGTGGTGGTTCTCTGATTGTCACATGAGCTTTGGTGCTAGTATCCTCAATGTCCGTTGCACAAAGTAGTTTGTATCCGCAATCTTAGTTAAATAGGGAGGCTCAGTTGCACTTGGCCTTTTGTATATTTCCTTTCAATGTATGATTCTTTAATATTTTCCATCATAGTGTCCAGTGAACCACCACTTGATAGCTGATGAACCAAAAATCTACAGTACTGGAGAAAATCAACTCACTTACTCTGAAATGTAGCATTATTTTATTACAATTATAACTTCTAAGTTAACAATTATTATAAAACAAAGTTTAAACTTCTTTTATCATGGTCAGGCTTACCTACCATTATCTAATTAATGGAAAACAATCCAAAATTGTGGATACAACCAACTGCTAATATACAACAAACTCTTAAATTTCTTAATGTTGTAATATAAATTGGTAGCCTTTATTAAAGATTTATTATTCTTTATTCTTTCTAATCCACTTTGTTGTTTTTCATTATAGAATTGTGTACTAGATTTACTGTACAAATTAAACCAGAGGCATTGGCTGTAACTTCAACATAAACATATTTATTGTTCAAGGGATAATCAACAGAACCTTTCCGAATTCGCTCAATATACAAACTGTACGTTAATATAGAACAACAAAGATGCATTGATGTGCATGTGCGCATTACGCGTACTGTAACATACGCGATCTGTTTACATTCGTCTCATGTACTGTTGTTTCTTCCTTTCTTGTCCCTGCATGTGCACGCCTCTTGTCATGCTGTGACCAGGTGTGGATTGCTATAAGCTGTCTTTAGACGGTCTTAACGGTTAGCCGGCTATAATCGTGACGTCACTACTAGTCTATGATTATAGACCATTGCTAATTGGAGGGGGAACCCCTTCTCCCAGCTAGGCCCCTGTTGAACAGCTCAGCCTCTTCCCCACCCCAAAAATATATCCTAGAGCCGCCACTGCTGGGCTGTATATTTGATATTCTTTTGTAGACATTTATTTTAAAGAAATTCTTAAAGTTACTTACTCTGAATCTTGACATGTGTGTGGATCAGATGGTGACAATTGGGCATTGATTACCACGATTTCCATGGCAATCAGAAACCATACGCAATATAATTCCATTAGAGTGAGCTAAAAATCCTCTAATGTGTTTCAAAAGATTTCCTTCACAAGCATACTTGATCTGGAGAAAAATAAAACCAAATAATATATTAACATTATGAAGTACAGTACACAATCATTTACTGTATGATACTGAATATAATTATGTACAGTATGATAAATATATAAAGTATACTGTACAGTATGCTGCCTTTCAAATAAATAAACTACATTTGAATTACATTGTATTTAGTTTATAGCTTAATTTTTTAATCAAAAAATTAGAAGAAATTTTCAAATTGCCAATAACAGATTTATAAATGATTTTGTTTATATATTACCTGTATTTACTGTACATATACCATAAAATTGGCAAGAAGTTGTATTACTTTTTCAATAAAATGTTTATAATCCTTGAAACCTTGACATAGATCCGAATCTTATGAAAGTCTAACATAATTTTGTTACTAAATGGGTAAAACTTTTGTTTGTAAGTGTACTTTTTTTACAGTATATGGTAGAGTATATGGGTCTATGGTTTCACACAGTGAATTAAAAATAATAGTACATGTACAGTAATAATTGTATAGTAATAGTTATCTGTTTAATAAGCATATCTGCTGGTTAATAAATATATACAGAAATAAAATGTACTGATACAGTATTTATTGAATCAGCTGATACAATTTTTGCCACTTAATTACAAGTACATAAACCAAATAAAACAAACATCTGTGCATAGACCTCAACTCATCTGATCAAAACACATTTAAACAATTTAATGTATTTATAATCAGATTTGCTGGTTAAATAGTCTGCAACTTTAAGAAAGGATGGTACCGCGTTCTGAGTACAGTATTTAACATAAAAGAAACATCTCGGCTATTCCGTGGCATAACAACTAACTTGAAATTTTCCCTTTTCGAGAAACACAGAGTTAAAGTTTGCATGTTTGCAACTTGGCAATAAATTTTCATATCCTTCTGAAATTTTCCATGACTATCTAATGTATAGACATTATGAAATTTATATGTAAAATTTTAATAAAAACCGTTGGTTTATTATCTCAACAAATCTGACCAATACTGCAGTACATTGAGGGCAGCATTGCCACATGAGATACGTACAGTACATACAGTACGATGTGACGTGTTGAATAAAACTTAAAAACGTGTTGTGTTGACAATCAATGGTGTACAGTAATGTGTGTGTTGTCAGTCATGTCTACATAAGAACCCCAAAACACTGTACAACAAATACATTACCTTCTTAGGAAAATAGGCACAATCAAAAATGATATCTAAATCGGGATGCCTTTTACAGATAAATATTAAAAACTGAACTTTTATTAATAAATCCATTAAAGAACAATAGTGTTCTGAAAGTCCATTAAAAATATTTCTAATTAATAATCTACAAGTATGACCAGGAAATTGGAGGCAAAATTTATTATTTAAAACTAAATAAAATGAAAATACATTCTGTACAGTACTTCATGTACAGTTTGATACGAGTTAAAAAAAAAAATGATAGTTAGGCCATGTAAATAAAAAGTTGTTGATCGTCCCCTCCCTACTTTAAATTACCCAACCAATTATTTTTATTTTTATTTACTTCATTAATTCAATTAAAGAAAATATCGTCTTTCTGCCCATAATTCAACTTTGGCTGGGCCTAGGCTTTCTTTTTTGGGTAATTAAATTTTGTCTTTCAATTCTTTGTTTGTATTAATTCCACCTGATCAAACACAACACTAGAAGATTCGGCAAAGTCAGCCACCCTTTACATAAGGCCTTGCATTCTGTGGAGGATTCAAAGACTTGGCAAGTATCAAAGAGGTGGTTTCATTACTGATAAAACTCTTCCTCCCTACTGATTTTATTTTTTAAAGGATGATCAACAACTCTTTTTTTTACACAGCCTTATTTTTATATTAAAAGGAATTCTTTTAAAATTATTGACATTATTTTTTAAGCCGATTGATCCAAGAGTTTCATTGCTTGATAGAGTTACTTGAAAAAATACAATGCATAAATATATTCTACAGTACTTTAGAAGCTTTTCAATCTGCAAATAAAAATGTCAAGATTGGATTTGGATGAAGTGCGCACTTACAGATTTACAAGCTCACCTTTACAGACTTTCAAAGCTGAATGAATTAAGGATATTTTATGCAAATTTTTTTTATCAATAAAGTACTCCATGAAAGGCTAGATAATATAATTTTATTATAAGTTATAAATTAGTGTTATGTTTGAGATGTTTACCACTCCCATACGGTAAAAATGATATTTACAATACATATGCTGGGGGGGGGGGGGATTTAATGTATGTACTCTCGTGGAGGGGTCTCAGAAAAAAGAATGTTTTGTACTCTAAATGACAATAATGGAAACTAGATGAACTAATTATCTATTGATTTGCAGGCTTTAAAGATGTATTGTACCCTGATGAAAATAAATCACAAAAAAAAAAAATCAATTTTGAAATTCCTTGCTCATTTTGATTTAACATAAGAATTACCAACTTTTATAATTAAATTAGAAATTACTGTGTAAGCCTAAATTACAAAAAGAAGGAAAATAGATTAAACCCCAAGTTTATCCCAGATAACAGGCCTACATTAAGACAGTTCCTGTCAATGGAAGTATTTCTATGATTTGTATCACCTTATAAAAATCAGAATTCAGTACAGTACTGTACTTTCATTTTCTGGACAATGAATGAATCTTCACAGTTTTCATGTTAATTGGATGGAAACCATTTTATGCACCTTTTATACTCTGATAGTTGTTTAAATAAGTATTGTGGTTTTTTTGTTTTTTTACATACAGTACACTGTACAGCAGCTTGGTAAATTGTTTTTTTATGTAGTTTTAAGCATGTAATATGGATTAAGATGAGTCATCATTTAAGAAATAGCTGTAGGGGCCTACTGTAGTTTACCTTCTGTAATATGAATTTTAAGCCCTTTAGAAAATGTTTGACAATTTTGTACAACTATAAAGTCTATCAAATCAAGGATGCAGATGACAGGTGGAGCCGGAAATTCCAGAGATTAATTCCTCTTTACGATTAAACCATGGATTTAAAATGGTCACCTTTAAGTAAACAGTTCTTTAATAATGTGTGTCTGTGATCAGGCCAAAAATAAATGTTTGCCCTCCTCCACCTGTCCCTAACTTACTGAAAAAAATAGGATCAGGATAACAAAAAAACTTAGCTTTTTTCTTTACAAATACAGTTAAAAAAAAAAATTGTGAGTGAATTTATTTTGTCAGATGCCCTATAAATTAGTCTAAAGTTGTTGTCTGATTATTATTTTTAAAAAAGAAGGGCTAACAAACAATTGATTTTTTGGGCCTTATTAAGGAGATTAGTAAATCCAGCCTACTTTTTCCAACCATGGAACTGTGAAATTGTTCCCTGTTCCAATTAATCAAATTTTGAAGCCTCATGAAAAAAAAAAAAAATTGCCTTTATAAAAAAAAAAAACAATCATTTTTTCATGGAAAATAAAAATAATCACAATATGAAAGATTGTTGTCAAAACCTATTTTGATTTGGAAACATACGGTGAATGGCAGAATAAATTTACAAAAGATTTGTTTTGCTTATTTTTACAAAAAAATATATTTTATTATTTACCAATCTGCTGGAAAATTGTCTATTGTCTTTATTAACAAAGGAGGTACTAGATTAGATGGATAGATCCTCCTCCTCCTCCTCCTCCTTGATTCTCAACACAAACAAATAATTACATTTTATTTACTGTGCCCAAATCAGGCCTTATATGACAACAATGTGTACCAAGATTTCCTTACCTTCTCATAAGAAAACAGAAGTACAGTAAATCATCAATCACTCTAATAAAATGACAGGATTCTAAAGACATGAAAAAGCTGGATTTTTTTCTTAAACTGAACAGGTGTTATTCTATCATTTATTGCTATTCCTTCCTCATTGCTTTGGCCACTGATTGCCAAGGGACGAGTTGTGGTCTGAAATATTCCTCAGCTAATCTGTTGGTCAGTGAACTGGAACAGATTGCTATTTTAGAGACATTAGTTGCATTCCATTAGCTAATTGTTTATCTCTTATGGGTGCTATTCCCATCCTACAAGCCAGATGTCTTCAAAATCACTCTGGAATTAAACTGAACATGGGAAGTATACTATAATAACCTCTGTGGCATGGGAAACATATAAAAATTATACCAGCTGATTATACTAAACAGTCACTACTCTATTGTTAATTTAATTTGTTTCAAATTCAATACTGCAATATCATAATATCTCATTTTGTAGTCCCAGCTGCTTAGATCTGCTGGCTGGACTAGGATATTTAAAGTCCATCTAAAATGACATATTCTAGTTACTTTTAAAATGTCATGAAACAGTAAAGAATTATATAATAAACATATCGATGGCTTTCCTTTTACTTTTAGATAATGCGTTTTTCTGAAAAACGAGTTTTAAATCACCCATTTTAATGAATTCTGTATCACTAAGCTCCACCTTCTGAATCTGACCCGCATTTAACCTTTACCGCATATGTCATACACTCGGTACAACATAACACAGGATGTTCGCGGGATAGCAACTCTTGGCAACACAAACATATTAGATAGTTAGTAGGATTCACAGGTTTACGATATTCTCAGTTAAGGCTTAGGGTAATCATACGCTGGAAATTCGGAGAGTAATTATTAAGTACACATTCAATACATATTAGCAGCCCTCGAAATTAGCGTCAGCATCACGTTATGACCACAATGTAAGAGCGAGGATGCGAGTAGGCCTAGGCCTAGCTAGGCCCTATTATCTGCATCCTTTGGCTGGACCACTACACTACCCTCAACAGGAAATTGCAAATATGGTTTAAAATTACATTGGGAATTAGCTACATTGTATTTAAAAAAAAAATTTTAATTAAAGCAAAAATAGCTCCCAGTGGGAGCATGTGTCTACCGCTTGATAGTTTTTTTTTAATATAGTTTCATAGATTTATAATATTATTTTGTGTTAATTTAGATAATATTTGTGTGCCAATGTCTCAAATGAGTTTCCAATTTAAATTGAT